GTTCGTTGTTTACACGTGACATATTAATCGGATGCATTTCAAATGAATCGGGCGTGACTAGTTACTACAGAATCAGTACGTTTGACATATTAAAACAATATAATTCGTAGTTCTGGTGCAAGGCGTAACAACCAGATGCATCATAGAGTTGAAAGTTGGAAATACGCCATGTAAGAAGAAACGTTTTTGATGATTTGAAGTGATATTTTCTTCTACTTTGTCGTGTTTATCGAGTAGTTTGTGAACTGTTCTCTTTATATGTGACAAAATATGGTTTGTTAACATTTTGCAGTTACGCCCTTTTCAAATGTTAGTCTAGAATTTTTCTACACTGGGTAGTGGGTAGTGCTGATAGTGCCGACAGTGCTGACAGTACCAGCCTTCAAACAGGCTGCGTTTGTTTGTGAATATTCAGGCATGGTTGGCAACCCGGATTTTCAGACAGATTGAATGTTTTAGTTTGATCGAGCCACTCAAAAATATTAGTAAATCTAAAATAAATTCAATTCTAATTTATACGCAGCGCATAGATTAATATGTAATCTATAGTAGATACAGCTGGTGAGCAAACATTTCATGTATAAAAAAGTAAAAACGGGTCAGTTTTCTGTCGAAACGTGATGGTGTAAATTTTCATACATACAAAGTGCATAGTTTATACAAAGTGCAATTTTCTGGAAATATAAGGCAAAAGTGATCGAAAGGCATAACATTCACGAATTGAAAACCAGTTTTACTTAGCGCGGATGTGACATACCAACTATCGATTGAAGATCAACAGCATTATTGTGGATGATTTGTGCTGGTTGTTGGAGATTATCAGCTTTCGAACGAGGTGGAAAACTGTTTGATGGAATCTATTAAGGGAAGCCAAAGTCAGATCTTTGTTTTTTTTAAACTCGAAAATTTACAAAGGGGAAATGGCTCTAATGTTGCCCTATGGATCTAAGATTGGGCCCATCGCTAAAAATCTGCTATTTATCAATTTTATCTAGATGAACGCGTCATTGGGCCGGTACTAATGGACATTTTTGGTCACTATTGAAAATTTAGTCGATTGCTGAATTTATGTATAGGTCCAAATTAGGGGCATTTAGGCCGACATTACATCCATTTCCCCTAGTTGGAAAATTCAATAGTCGTGGATGTTGTTGTCTTATGCAATTTTCTGCGGCTTTGCATCGTTGCTTGTGAGCCATCGATTTCTTAAACCATTTCTTTCCATACGATGGTCCACCGTTTGCAACCAGGCGGTACCATTGCGGGCCCTATTCTCGCCAGAACGATGAAGGATGTTTTGACCTCATATGTACACACAAAAAACTAAAATTGTATTAACAAAAATAAAGCATTTTTAAATTAAAAGTTTCCCAAAACTCATGGTTTCAACTACGAAAACATTCAAAATTAAATTATTTTTTTTTAATTGAAAGTGTTTCTTTCACTTTCGATTCGTAAATTTAAAAGTGTTTCTTTTAACTGAAAAGTTGTACAACTGTCAAAATATCGATGTTTTTACTGGCAGCACGGAACCCTCTTTTGCCGCTTTTTTTTGAAAAAAATAAATCAAGTTGAATAATCTCAATAGCAGTGGAAAATCTTTGTGTCCAGATGATTGAGAAATCGATGTAAGTATTGAAAATAACAAATGAATTAGATAAGCTATAACACCCGTCCATCATTCCAGTGGCTTCGATTACCGGCAATTTGCGCTGAATGCATGAGCAAACTTCCGGAGGAAGAGATGATATTCCCACGCCCGTAAATAACTCACCATCCTCACAAAGATAAATACAGTCACAGATAGGTAAGTGGGGGCCGTACACTGACCGGCAAGGAATGCTTCTATACAAATCCATTTTCAGTTACCCGTTTGAGCGGCCGTCATTACTCACAGGATACCATAGCTATCACCTTAGCCTTGCTGGCAAAAAAAAAAACAAAACTATGAATTCTTCAATGCAAGAAAGCACCGTTCTGTTAAAAAAAATTTGGCGCTCATCTTTACATTGGTATGTGCTTTCTTATCTCACTTCGACAATAAATATCATAACTAACTTTCATTTCATTCCAGTAGATCATACACCAGCGGACAGGTGATTATGGGTGATACTCTGGCATTCACATCGAAGATGATCCCCTGCCGGAATCACTGATGTTATGTACCTACCACTTCATCGACTACGATTATGCTGTTCAATATACAAAATTACGGAAGTAGGGTGATGGTAACCACGGGAAACAAGGAGATTTCGGTAGAATTGTCACACAAAATGCTTCAACCTTTCACGTCGAGGTAACGAGAAAGGAAAATTCCACTGGCGAATAGTACACGAGAAAAGTGAGCTCCGATTAGGAATGAACGATTTGTCCTCGGAAACTGCGAGATTATCCGTGAATGATGTCCCTGGAAGTCGATTTCTTGGGGTGTTGCTTCCCCTGTTTGGAGCAGAGAACTACTGCAAGAATCTGGTCACAGGAGAAGACGGCACCAGGTCAACTTCGAACTAAACTCCAAGATTATTCAGTTGCAACGTTAAACGGTGAACTGCGCGCAACTTGACTGCTTATTTTCATTTTCAGTTCGATCATTATAGTAAAAAAATATAATAATAATATTAAACATATTTTTGAACTTTTTTATTTAAAAATGGAAACTTTAAATTTAATATTTTTTTTTAAATTTAAAATAAAACTACGATGTTGTTTTGAAAATATTAATTTTGAATTTAAAATAATCCGCTTTCAATTTTAACACTGCCCCGTTTTTCATCTGACTGTTCTACAATTTATTTTGAAAGTATCAGCTTTTAAAAGTAGGGCGCGGGCAACTTTTGAATTGACAGTTGGCAGGCTTTCCATTTGAAAGCTATCCGCTTTCTACCAAAAAGAACCAACGCAAACTTTCAATTCTACCAATGTTATTTTTAATTTTATCAATGATTATTTTTTGTGTGTACACCAGCAGGAGTACGTGGATATGTGGATTGCCAGATTGATTGAAACTGTCATGGGCTGCCGGTCGAGGGGGGGGGGGGGTTCCGATAAAGAAGCCTTGCTCATCCCCCCGCTAAACGCCAAGGACTGCTGCTACGCAGCTAAACTGAAGGAGAAAACGCTCGGCACAGACCGTGTCTGGAGCAGACGTGAAGCAGTACGAACAGCAACCGCCGCCACTATCGTCGAAGGGCCCCACCGAGGACAACGAGGAGAAATAGGGAAAGGTCAGATTAGTCAATAGACGTCTTAATTTCATATTGCTTTCTCTTTTTCTTATAAATCCATCCAAATCCGAACGTCTTTGGGGGAAGTACTCTGCTCGCCGGGGTAAATCGGCCAGCTATAGGCTGGTAGGTAAGCCGCAACTTACAAGTCCGCTCCACTCTTATACTAGAACCTCGATTGTTCATACCATTCAAAGTGCTATAGGATAGTTCAAATGCATCCATTCTACAATGCATATAATATGTATTTTATTAAATTGCTTCTTCAAAGTGCATTCATGTCATAGTGGTTGCTCATGGCTACTGTATGAGTAACCAGCTCTTAAAGCTGATTTTTTCTAATCAATACTAAAGGGGCGTAGACATTTCGATCTACATGTTCATGAGGAAATTTTGAGATGTTCATACAGATTACTAAGTGCTTATATGCATAAAATTGCATTTCTAAAAAGCATCATGAGAAAAAAAAAACATTTGAAACCAAAGAGATTATGTTAGCTGAGTTTCTACATATTGAAGGAGCATTTGAAAATGCATCCGTCTCTATCGAATGTACTTTTTGTAATTTTCGACACATTTTCAACTTTCCAACTCATATAGCTCTCAAACGGCACGTTTCAGTCATTTATCTCAATTCTCGTAAAGAAAATATTATCGATTTCAGTAACACCTACCGATCCTAACCTAGCCTCAGTTCATAGCGGAACTGCATCGAATAACGTGAATAAACTACACACATTGTATTGGTGCATCGTCCTCGATATAAAGTGTGGTCCGAATCTTCAAAAGAGACGTCACCACGAGTGTTGATGTTCATTACTCGAGTGCCATTAAACTTTATTCGAATTCGCATATGTGCCACACTGACTGTGTGTAGAATTAGTGGGTGTGGAATCAGAGCTGCGTGGGACACCAGTGAATTGTTGCACGCCACCGCACGCAGCGTGGCGGTTGAATCAGGTTCAGAAAGGAAAATATATGTCAACCAAGTAGCAAGTTATTTGGAGAAAGATCATCACCTTGAACGAATACGAACGTGAATATTGCGAGCGGTGGGAAAACATTTGAGCTCATTCTTTCCTTCCTGCGTAGGGGAAGGAGGAACACAGTGAACATGATGATAATTATGATAATGCTTCGAAACAATTTAACTGGTCATTAATCATTGCAATGGTGATATTGTACCTACACACTTAGAAATAACTAATTTTACACGTGACGGAATCCGTCTTTGACATAAAAGATGAGACGTTTATAAACGTGTCATGTAATATTAAGTTGCTCGACCAAAAGTACGTCTGATTGAGCTAAATTTCAAGTCTGTTATGACTCAAGTTTATGTCGAAATCGACGCTCTTATATGTCACTCTAAGTGTGTAGCTTTGCAACATGTTACAACCTCGACAGCTTTCTAAGTTCTTGGAGTATTTAGAAATTCTAAGTCACCTTGAACGATGAGAATATTCATCGGTTTTCCTTTGAAAGGAACTCCCGGACTCAATACTTCATACATTATGCAACGATGCAACAGAAATCACTGATTACGTTTGCGAAATACAATTCCCCTGAAATTGCGATGCAAAACCGAACTGACACGTTTCCTGATTCCCCGCTCAGATTACGCCACGATGCTGAAAGGGAAAGTTGACCTGATGTAACACTTCCAGCTGACTGCACGCGAAATGCACTGGGAATGCATCGATATGAATGACAATGTTCGGCACGAACAGGAGCAAAACAATTAGTAAGCGATGATGCAGCACACGTCTCTCTTACCTTTCATGTGCGCTGGGAAGCATTTGTACTCGTACTGTTCCGTCATCAGGTTGGTCGTATCGGGAAGATAGGACTGAATCCGGCCTACCGTCGTTGATAGTAGTAGCAGGAGGGAAGAAAATGTCAACAGCGGTGGTTTCATTTTGAGTTACTTATGATTAAATTTTCTTGATATCTGAAAAGGAAGATAGGAAAAATGGGAAATTTTAGAAGAGTTGCAATGCATTGAAATTAGGTTTAAACTGATGGTTGTTAACAGCTCGCAATATTGTGATACTTCCTGTGGCATTGTGACTGGTTCGTCCCGATACGTTTAATTTGAATTTACTGCCATCAAATTGAAATTTATATGATCAATGGAAATTGTTTTACAATGAAAATTACTGTTGAACTTTGGTCAACACACATTTGTTTTCACGCAGATGACCAAGGCCAACACATTTTTCCCACACACAGACGCCACCATGCCTTCAATATGATAATTTCATTAGCTACTGTATCACACTTCTTTAGATTTCCTCAAGTCGTCAAACTGAAACAAACAGGAAATTGGGCCACATTGTTCCAATCGCACATTCCGCCAATCGCCGAACCGAATTTAAATCTAATAACAATTCGGTATGTTCGGAATGTTCAACCACCGAACAATGAATGACCCGACCGACTACTATCGTATTGATGATGATGGCCTATATGCTCAACGCTCTTTATCAGGTGAATCGGCAAGGCGACTTTATGTGACAGAGCGTGCAATAAAATTAATAAAAATTCAAATTCTTCTCGGGGGAGCAAAAAAAAAACCAAGTCCAACCGCGGCCGGCCGGTGGCGTTTTGCGTAAAGCAGCCGATCTTTCACTTTCTTGTGGCGATCGGTTGAATTCCACCATCTTTCGCAACGGCTACAACGCCGACGACGTAAGCAAAACAAGTTTAGCTTGATTGAATTAGAAAAGAGGTTATCGAAGTTAACAAACGGTTCCAAAGTTGTATGTGGTTCTATCTATACTGTTATTAGTTGTGGCAATTTTATGCGATTTTTTTTTTAAACTCAACCTTTTCTACAAAAATCCGTGGCTTCTTTTATTGATTTCTAGCTAATCAAACGGTTCTATATCACATAATAAAGTTCTACTGAATGGTATGCTACACAACAAATCTGCTTTACGGATGAGCGCGCTCATCAGAAAATTGTCCTCAGTCAAAAATTGTTGATATTTGCGTCGAAGAGGGTAGTGTCATCTACATGCCATGGCCAACAGAGTAGGTAGATGAAACCTAGCGCTGCTGGTAGGTAGCTTGGTAAGCAAGCGTCCACTCGCAAAATAGGGTATACGTCCCTAACCTCGGTCTAATATGCAGCCATAGATTACGTTTTTAATCATAACTCATCAATTAATTTACCTGCAAACGATATTCTACTGCTAAATGGTATGCTTAGATATGCTTATCATGTCGTTTGCTATCAGGAATCGCAAAAAGTTGAAAAACTTACTTTTTTTAAGACAAAATCTCACCAGGGAAATGTATGTAATATCGGTCTATTGTCCCCAAATTGGGTCTATTTATGGATGCAACTTCGTCCTATCCTGTTGGATTCTCAAAAAAAACGCTCTTGGTAACGTTTTCTTATGTATTTTTTTTTATCACTATCACTGTTAACTTAATACTCTTCATTCCTCAAAACATTTCTTAGAGAAAATTTTACGAAAACTACATTAAATCACTCAAGTTAAAAATTAAAAATTAAAAATTTCGCTTATCGTCTTTCGACCGCAGAATATCTAAATCAAAACATTGTGATGTTCATTATACAGATTTGGCAGAAAAAATCTCCCTTCCTGTTCGTTCCTTATCATCCAAATGCAAAACAACATTGTTGACGTTACTCTTATTGCTATATGCTGTCAAATGAATTTCATGGGCCATAGTTAGGAACATAGAAAAGAAATGTGTCCCTAAAGTTGGGTCCATGATTTACTTGTGAAAACGTTGTTAAACAATTAAAATAAACATAAAATATTCAAACAGTAACTGTGAGTTTTACGTCTAGTGTGTATTATCAGGTAATTCCATTCAATAAATGCCATAATCAGGCCATTTGATGATCGTCAGTGCAACCTTCCCATCTTAACCTTAGAAGTCATGGCGGCTAAAAACTCCGAACAGAGTGATATTCTCAACCAGTTTTATTACTTACGAGAGCTGAAAATGTATTGAAATGTTGTGATATAAATTGATTTGTGTGTGGTACACATTTATCAATCATCAGTGATCAATATTTTCCTTATTTTTTGTGTAATATTCCTTAATTAATTATTTATTTGCGTGATAGGCCGAATGAAAGGACTAGACCCACATTACATACCGTAACCCTATATGATAACGAAAAAATGCCAAAATATATCGTGGATTTATGGACCTGTTTTGTTTATACGGGGATGTTTTGATTCCGCTCTCTGGGCTACGTTTCTAGATTATCCTTTGTTTGAAAATGGTTAAATTTTTGGCTCAGGTTACACCCGTAGGTGATCAACCCGAAGAAGCCAAGATGGATCTAGTAAATACCTATCATGCTGCAGTAATAGCTGGACCAGTTGGTGTCACTGAATTTTTGCGGAATTCCTTGGATTTACCGAAAATTGGCGATTTATAATCTTGAATGCTGCAAAAACTAGGGAAAATAGCACAAAATAAAACTAAATGCTAGATACAATATTTCTTCATAGAAACTATGCATTTGATGAGTTGAGAGATCGAAGAGTGCTGTGCTTGTAGGTGAAAGCGAACAATTTTCCTCCCGTCAAATTATTGGATTATGCGGTTTTCCGGATATAAATTAAAGTGATACTGGTGAAGAATAGGCTATTTCTATGCACCACCAATTTAGAAACGCTAGGCGATTATGAGAGGAAACGTCAACCAAACCGTTTGTTTACATCAAAATTACATTTTTTACATCTCAAATTTCAGTGTTCACTCGGCTGTCGACAACAGCAGGCCACTCTCGATGTGTGCCACGCGATCGTCCGTTTTCTCGGCAGCAACCATTGTATGGTCCTCCTCATTGTTCTTCATCAGCAGTTCTTTCGGTCGATGCGTCGTCGACTTTGGAAAGCAACCGTTTAGTGATGAGTGTGTGAGTGCTAACCACGTTTTGCGTCCATTGCTGCAATGGAAGCGCTCTGACTCCCGTTGGCGTAACTGCCATATAATGAAACCAGTGGAAGCGGCTCCAGTTCTGATGGAGGAGGCTTTTTGGATAGCGGAAGATAAAGTGTTTATTGTGTTGTACTTTTTGACTATAGTTTTAAGATGTATTGTATAGTGACATCTCAAATTAATGCATATTTTTATGCATATCTTACATATTTCCATCGAGAGGGGTCTTATTTTATTATTTTTTTTACATATTTCAACAGATGTACAGCTCAAATAACACCACATTAAAAATCCGGAAGATCATAACCGCTGGAGCAGTTTTATAAACCTTCACTTTTCTTAACAAAAATATGTGGAAGCACCAGCCGGATCACTGCAAAATTGATACAGAAAACAAAATATTCCATGTGGATGATGGTTTCAAGCACCTGCGATGGATAAATTAATCAGAAAAGGTAAAAATATTTTCCTCTTCCTATGCTTCATGGCGAAAATTTCAGCCCTCATCAATCTTTTGATGGTTCTCCTATTCCCCACCAGAGGCTGAAACGATCGCTTAGTTTCTACTGGATTTGCCTATAGAGACTTGAATTTCCTGAATGTAATTCCACAGTATCCGGAATGTATCAGACGGCCAAAAAGTATTTCAAGACTACATTCGGAACCGTCGGGAGAACCGTCTACAATGGATCAATGAAAATGCTAAGGTTTTGACAGAACTGTGCTGTGGCTACCACAGTATTTTACATTTGATCGTCCATATACGATCACGTAAAATACGACGATCAAATGTAAAATACTGTGGTAGCCACAGCACAGTTCTGTCAAAACCTCAGAATTTCCATTGATCCATTTAGAATAATAGAATTCAAGTGAAATTTATGCGTCACTAGTGGCGGGAAATAGTACTAGACATCGATGGTGATAAATTTATGACAGTCGGTTCAAATTCCAGAGTTTGAATGATAAATTATTGAAAAAAAAAAGTTCAAAATAGTGAGATACGATCATTTTTATGGATGATATTTGTAGGAAATTTGTCGAAAAATGTAATGTTATGTTAATTTTTATTGCAATATCATTGAAAGATAATAAAAATGCGATTTTAAATGCATCGATATTATTTAGGTTATGTTTTGTATGATTGCATATTCCTATCCCGAAATCGACTTCCAAGTCAGTCAGCTGGATATAATGGAGTATGTTGGAGACTCCGTGCTAGCGGATTTAGAGACCTAGTATATTGTGTACCTGGGCTACACTATCAGTAAAGCAAGAATTGAGGAGAATGGGTTTGTGCTGCAAAGTTCCCATCCCAGGAGCGGCCACATGAAATTAATCTCAAATTTCCCCACGACAACAAACTTTGGGACTTATATTCTAAAAAGTCTGCTTCAACAAAATGATGGGAGCATATTCGCTCTGCCCTTTTCCATAAACAGTGGCAACCTTTCTCCACTGCGCAAATTTGTTGCTCCCCAAGTTCGGAACCCGAAACAGTGGAAATTTGTCCTCGTTGCATCCCGGGATAATGCAACGATCCTTGAGCAACAAAGAAAATCTTAAGCGGTGGAGGTTGCGTTTACGTAGTCTAAAAATCAGCATTTTTCCTGATTGCATGCAATTATATTATTGAAGACACTTACTATTCTGAAGAAAACCTCTTTTCCTATAATTTGATAAGCTTTTTGATCATCAAAATCTGTAGGCAAATTTTAGAATTCAAAGGTAAATTTTTTGAAGCGAGTCGCGATTGACAGCTGTTTATATTTGTTATCACCGCTACGACAACAGCGTCACGGGTGGCCGGTGGCTGGTTGGATTTCACTATCGGTACGCTTTTTTATTATTCCGGTACAGCACTCCTAGTAATCTGTTCTGGAATATGTTGACAGAAATTTGTTTACAATGTCTTTCTCTTGAATGGATCAATGAAAATGCTGAGTTTTTGACAGAACTATGCTGTGGCTACCACAGTATTTTACATTTGATCGTCCATATACAGTAGCGCCAAAA